CCTCTACTTTCGCTTCTAACCTTTGCCTCTCCCCAGTCCATGCTATCAAAAGATCTTCTCCCAATCAGGAGTGACGATGAACTTGCCCATCACTTTTCCTAATCCAGTAGCGACACCTTCTGGTGCCTCACCCTTAGGATCTTCAGCAAGAACAATTTGACTCAAAAAAGCAGCTGGAACACCACGGCCTACTGCCATACTTGTTCCACCCCAATCCAGTTCCACCTTGCCGCTCTTTCTTACCACCAATTTTCCGATATATCCTTGTTCACTAACCAATGCTTCATTTTCTTGCGCAAGGTTAGGTTCAGTTTTGATGATAACTTCTTCCGATTCCTTTTTAAGTCCTTTTTCTTTATCATCGGTCAGATCAATCTGTTCCGAGGATTGGGTGACGACGACATCATCCGAGTTTTCGACTTGAGGATTAAATAGTCGAGGTAGAACAGGTGGGAATTGGAATAGATAAATCCGACCATCTGCATGATTAGCTTCTGGTTGAGCTTCATCTTCTTCCTGTTCTCCACCCATTCCAACATCTCCATCAACATCTCCGGCCTTGCCTTTTCCTTTATCCTTAGCTGTTTTATCTACTGTTCCTCTCAACAGACGAAGTTCCTCAGCAAGGATGTCAACATCCTCAAGATAACGTTCATATTCGAACTTATCCTCTTCCGTTTGTATGACTGGTATTTTGTCCTTCTTCCTGCTAGGTCGTACTTTGGACTGTTGTGGTGAAATAGGCTCCCTCTTAGGATGTTTTTTATCTTCAGGGGAAGATGGTGCTTTGAACTCTGGAAACTTCGACATGGTTGGAGATTCAAGGCCAGGTTCTCCTTTTGCCCTTGGCTCATCCGTCGTTGTTGCTCCATCCATAGTCATCTCGACATCTTCGCCAGATTGATTATCCTCCACTTCATCGGCTTGCTTCTTGGCTATCTCTGCAAGTTCTGGATCACTAACCATCATATTGGAACGTTCCTTATGTTCTTCACGCTTGATCCGGATCGGTGCGAGAGATCGTGATTTGAAACCGGCATTCCCGCCTCTGCCAGAACCTACCATTTCATCATCATCGTCAACCAAATTGATCATTTCGATATTGACTTTCCTCGTTTGTCCGTCGTCGTCGGGATATTCTGGATTAAAAGTGGCCATGTTTTCGGCTGACAGCACATTTACTCCCCCTCCATTTCCTGATCCAGAACCTCCATAACCACCACCTCCTCCACCTCCGCGGCCACCTCCCCCTCCCCCTCCAAACCCTCCCCCAGCACCACCTCCTCCACCGCCTCTTGTATTTGCAATTGCAAAGCCATCCATACCACCCTTTCTGTCTGTAAAAAGAAATTAGTAAAGTTAACAAGCAATTAGCGATTCACTTACCCATTGCTGCTGGCGCAACACTGAAAATACCAGTAGCACTTGAAATTGGAGCTCCTCTTCCTGCCCCACGGTTTTGTCCCATTGCATCTCCTCTACCTCTTCCGACGTGACCTCTTCCTCTCTGGGACCTACGAGCTTCCTTTTCTGCTTGTGCCTGATTTGCCGCGATTCTATCCCTCTCCTCTTGTTCTAACCTATCTCTATCTGCTTGATCTCTTCTGATATTTTTAGGCTTAAACCTCGCTCTTCCAGTAGTAGCTTCACCTCGCGCCCTTGTGCTTGCCCCGCCACGTCCTCTTGCAATTGCACTTTCTGTTCTTGATGGAAGCCTCGCAGAGGTGGTCGCGGTTGTTGGTGCAGGGGTACCGGCAGGTGTTTCGGCAGGCGTCATTGCGGGTGAGGTATTTGGATCGAACGCATCGTCACTGGGTTCGGTTTTTGGAATAATGGTGGCAGTCGATTGTGTCATTGGTGCCATCGGCGCAACTGGTGCATTTGGCGCAGGAGATTGACTAGGTTGAGAGGAATCATCAAGAACACCTCTAAGTTCTGGGGTCTCAATCTCTTCAATCGCAATTCCTCTCCCTCTTCCTCGTCCTCTACCTCGAGGTCTACCCCGCGAGGTAGCTCCCCTCTCTGCTTTTGGTGGCATACTTTCTCGTTTTATTTATCTAGATTGAGGAAATGTAAGAGTATCGTTGTCACCGCATTAGATTTGATGTATGTATGAGGAATTTTGAGGATAAATGAAGTCGATCTGAGGAGTAATCATATAATACCAAATTTTATGATTGCGACAAATATTTTGGAAGCGTCAAAAGTTCAAAAGTTCAACTGTAACGTTGGTGGGGCCCGACTTTTTTTTTAATCCCAGTGACGCATGGGCTATCCTTGTGGGGACTGAAAATTAGTCAGCAACCATTCAACGTCCTGGTGCTCGCCAACCCAGCCATGTTTTCTCTTCTCATTCACGTGCCACTCTCAAGCCACTCTCAACACAACTCTTCGGACCATCGCCATCATCAAGGCTGTTTTCGTATGCACCAAACATATCCCAATGATTATGTGTTCGGGAGAAATATTGAGAGAGTGTGATTTTCTATTCGCATTCGATGCAGCTGAAGGCTGAGGACTCGATTCTGATCGCAAGACCGCTGCAGTAATATGGCAACAGTCATATATGCATCAGTGTGTTCCCCTTGACAAACATGGCTGATTTTCAATGTTATACCATGGGTTAATTTCAGTCTACATTCTGAAGCTCTTGGACGGCAAACTTCTCATACACGATTCGGGTAACTCGCTTTCAAGTGAAAATATGTCACCGTTGTGTATTAAATAGACATGTTTCAAGAACTACATTCCTTGGCATTCAAAGTCGAATGACATTCTTAAATTTTGACCAGTGAAATTCTAAATGATCCCTTTATTTCTCACGGCTCTATGCTATATATGATCTCCTCTTCATCTGTTTGACAAGTTCTCTTTCCACACAAGCTCTCATGAAGTTTATACTCCTCTTGCATCAGAACCAGCTGTACAAACGCCAAATTCCGCTCAAAAAACGGCCAGTCCTATTCAACAAATACCTAATTGTACTCAGCAGAGTTCCGGGTTAGATGGCCCCAGTATCAGCGTAGCCCCCGAAGACCAGCTTGAATGCTATCGTAGAAATTGTTCAATGACAGATCCTATTGGATAATCATGCGGTACTTTACCACCAGACTTTCAACTACGATGCTATAAAGCACAATGCGACAATAACAACTCTCTTGGTGCTGAACATCATGTACTTCCAAGCCCAGAAGGTGAATGTGCAAATGTAGCCCCAGAAAATCAAGAATGCTTCCAAAAAGAATGCTTTAAATTATTCTACGCTTTACTCCCAGTGCAGTACCAGCTTCAGTGTTATAGAAATAATTGTAGTATCCCGGATATATCTGACTCAATCAGTGGATTTGAAAACAGTTTGGGTGGGATATTAGATGGTTCAAGTGCGTCAGGAAGTCCAGATGATGATGGCTCGAGTGCTTCTGGTAGCTCGGATGATGATGATGTGGTCGCTAGTTCAGGTGGCAAGACAGGATAATTTCCAGGGCACCATTGAATTCTGGTAGTGTGATAATGTTTTTAATTTCCACAATTCTAGTTCATTTGCAACTTTTCTTTCCAATGCTATTCACCTATTAGTATGATCTAGCCAGCGATTAGAGAAAAGAAAAACACTACACTATCGTTGTTCCTACTCACCAATCTATCCTTAACCTGCTCCACCCTCACAGTTCTCCCCTTCCCAAATCCAAAATCATAAATTACAACCGGATAAAACACCCATGAAGTCAAAAAGCACCAAACATTCCCGCGCTATATCATGTATGCACCACATTCTCAAATCCACATTCACCAATCCTGAAGTTTTCTCAAGACTCGCTACTTACTTCCCCCATGCTCTTTCCTCTGCACTCCTCGGGCTCGATAAATGCAGATACATACCCGGTCTTGGCTCGATCTTGAGTCTGGTCTGAATCTAGATTCTTGAGGTTATTTCAGGATGCTTGATATTAAAATTGAGAATATGGACGCAGGATCCTTTTCGGAATTTGTAATTGTGAGTTGTTATCCATGAGTCACTAATTGCGGTTCATTGCAGATATAATTACCCATCTACCATCCCTCCCCTCTACCTATAGAAGTTAATCAACCGAACACAGTTCGAATTTTGGGGAGTGTTCATTAAGTTCGTTTATCCTTGCTGCTTAGGGTACTGTTTGTAGAGATAATAAAGATGTCAATTATAATTACGCACCACTTTTGATATTTGAAGTCATCGATGTTTGTTCGCTGAGGAAAATGTATCAATCTTTTGGTTTTTGAATCATGGGGTTTTGGTCCCGGTTGATGAACGTCGAAATTTATATTACATGGGCTAGGCTACCGCTTGAAGCTGCAATAGCGGAAATAAATTCTCATTCGAATGTTTCTCCCCGTCAAAGTACCTAGGTATTGTAGGAAAGCCAGTCGAGAGTTCAATACTTGATACTTCATGCTTCTGAGCGATCAATATGTTAGCTATAATTATACTTATCCGATAAAGAAAAAACTCGGGTGATTAGAATCCCATTGCGATGAAGTAAGGCGGGTTTTAAGGATCGAGGGAAAGAGATTATTAAGGTGTAGGACGATTATATTAAATGGGTGAAGAGGGTAAGAGATGAAACATTTCTCAGACCACGACTTTACGAATCTTTTTGGTGCAGTGAATGTGATAGCTGGGGAATGCACAATGCAGCAAGCTCTCCGACGAAATTTTGCACCTAGACAACGGAGCGCAATGAAAAGAGGGGAGAGTTTTTATTATCGCCAAGTAGCATGAAAGCGTCAGCAGTCAACATATGAATGATGCAGAAGCATCATGTCATCAAGACCACTTGCGTTCCTTTCAATGCTCTCCTTGGATATCTATGTACAAGCCGCGTATCAACCACTACAATATCATATCCTTGATTCATCTACCCAGTTCCATTCCATTCATATCCAGTCCAGCCCATCACAGACTTCGCAACAAAACCCAGCTCCAACATCGCCCAATCCCAATCATCCTCAACATCCTCCTCTCACTCATCACCAAAGCAATATCTCGAGTTATTCCACTCCGGGTCGTTAGAGATTGGTCCAAATTTCGGTTCATCTCTCGTCCAATCGATCATCTCAATGCATAGGTTCGAATCCAACTCAATATCACAGCCAATATCTGATGTTTTATCGTCTTCAAAAAGCTTCTTTCTCGCCTCTCTCATTTCCATAAACTGCTTATCCAGATCATCTACCATTCTTTTGAAACAATCTACGAAAAAGGCCCAAGTCATCGCATCAAAAGCATCGATAACCTGTCTCATGAGGTCGTTTCGGGGAAGATTGTTGTAAACCGAAGTTTGTCCTTGACGATTGAGGCGATGTTTGATTTGATCGGCATATGGAAAATCTCTTTGAAGAGCTTGCACATATCTTTCCAGGAGAAGAATAGCCTCTGCTGCAATCCTGGGAGAGTGCCATTTCCGAGTAGATACAAGCGAAAGCATTCCATCCTTTCTCTTCTGGGACTTGATGAATTCCGTCAAGTTAAAACACGCCAATTTTGACCTCTGGTATTGTGGCTCTAGATATTGTATAACGGTGGCTCGTTCTAACTTGAATGCTCTTGGGTTGTATTGTGAGGACGAGAAATTTTCCGCATTCCTAAGACCCATTTCTACAGGATGTGACTTCTGAGTAGTTGAATCGTGGGGCTTGTGCATCCAACGACTGCTGCCAGGACATAATCCATAGTCCATCAGATATTTTCCTACGCTGCTAGTAGACGGGTAGCGCATTTCAGACCTGAAAGTATCGAATGCCTCAAATGCCTGTGCATAACGCACGAGTCGAAGATACATTCCTCGAGAGAGCTCTACCACGGAGTTGCCCATCATGATTGATCTGAGTTCTTTTCTTAAACTGGGAGAAGGGATGGTAGATCGACAGTCCTTGCCCCAGAATTTATTGTATGGGTGAACATCTGGCAATTCGTCCCAACTTGCATCTCGGAATCGAAGCTTTTGTACCCCTCGTAGCATTCGAAGAGGTATGAGCATATCCTTCATTTCTTGATAGACGGTCTTGTCCGGGAACCAAATTGATTCCTCACACTTTTCCAGACCAATCGGTGCTAGTGCAATCTCAAGAGATATGGATGGGGACTGAGAGATGGCCAAACAAAAGTTTTCTATGGACCAAAGTCTTATTTCATACGATCCTCTCAATATTTGCGAATCCATGAATGAACTGACAATAACTCTCCAGTGTTTAACTTTTACCACCGCTGGATGATCAAATAGGAAAAGGTGACCGTGACCCAATCTGTTATAATGTCTTGTGATGGGCGTCATTTCCATGCCTCTATTGAATGAATATCTGCTTGGGTTGCAATTTTCCACAGGCTCATATTTTCAGCAAGCGATGTAGAACGTATTGGATCCGTAAAGGATATCTGATGCTTCTGAGTACATTTCACGGCAAACTTGAAGAACTTGGGGTTCAAGTTCAAACTTCAGCGGTGGCTGGGTTGCTCCGTGTGATGGAGAACTTCTGGGCAAACAGGTACGATCGGCCACACTGCAGCTTTTGCCAAGAATTGGATTTACCAGCAAGAGCTCGTAGATCATACAGCGAGTCTCTACGAGAAGCTTGTCGAAAAATGAACAACCCGTAGGTGATGATGAGACCTTTTTTGTAGAAGTATTTCCGATAGATTTTGCAAAGCGCGAAGCATGGCTTTTGTCGGAGATAGCATGTTTTATGCGGGGTTCATTTGTGCTGATGGCGACCTGGTCATTTTTGAGATGTGATCTAACTTCATCATAAGAGTTGGCGGTCGAGTTCGTATTTGTCGAAGTATCAAGTTTCGTATCAATTTTCTTATCACTGCTCGAAGCTGTGGCTTTGGAAGCAGCAACTCTATTCGATTGAGGTTCCATTGTGAACTGTCATAGCATATGTTAGCCTGTGTTCCATATGCTTGTCCACCATTGATAAACCAAACAAACTTACCTGTGTTAATTGAGACACAGTAGAAATAGCTCTATTTCTGTTAAAGTTGTGTGAAAGTTGAAAATTGAAAAAGGAAAGCTTCGAAGGTTGTGTGGAATATTAAAAACTTCCGGTACTAGCCGAGAGGGTTATAATATGTAAATCAATTTCACTGGTAACATATCAACTTTAACAATTCCAAGTGGATGTTTGATTACCCAGCTATCCAACCAAAGTCTAGTGAAGTTCATTGTTCAATCAAATACTGAGATGAAGGTTCTGATGGAATTCGCTAGAAGATGAATGCTTCATCTGATCAAAGTTTGCAGATATATCATCAACAGAGCATTTGACTCAAGATAAGAAGTCTCGGAAGTTTTTTGTTTGAAATAAAGCATGAAGTTCTTGACAGCCTGAGTGTCAAACTGATGTATGGCAATCACAATTTTTGTCTTCTGATAGTAATGAGTGATAACTTTTACATTCATTCACCATCTCCTTCTCATAGTTCAGTCTTTCAAGATGCGTGCTCCAGGATTCGACTGTTTTTAAGGACTTAGTCTTTGAATATAACTCGAAGAATTTCTTCCTATCATTTGTCAGTAGAAGCTGTTAAGTCGAAGAATAAAAGGGAAAATATGTTCAACCATCGAAACAACTGATCATCTATTCCAGGGATTCGTGCTCAGATAACTACTAATCCCTCATTCCCAGCATTGGGATAGAGAATTGTTATTATAAATGTCATGGATATTTTATTTGAGGCAAATCAGAAAGTCTGAAACTTCCATGGGTCTTGCAACAACCTGCTCCTCGAAGTAATACAGCATGTCATGGTGATTCCTGGTACATTAGACTTGATATGTAAGATTCGAGCGGGTTCCCACGTTCTCAGAAGATTGTAGCAGAGTACATTAAGTTGATCCTATGATAATGATCTAGTTGCACCTTGGGAGGAAGTGAAACATGCGGGTGGCAACCATATCCCGCATCATATATGGACAAAGATTCAGGTATTCTGAAAGCGAACTGATACCAATCAGTTCCGTCCGGAAGTTTTCCAAGCCTATTTGCCATTAGCAACATCTACATCACTTTCTGTTGGTATGCTATGCCATAGTTTACACCACGCAGATTCTTTGCGTTTGGATATCATCTCGCTTCAAAGACTGGGGGCGGAACCGATTTATGTGTTTTTGATTCTTCGGCAGCGTCAGAGGACCGCGTCGTCGGCAAGATTGCAATGGCATCGGTAAGACGCCAACATTTCGTGCAGTTAACTGGCCCACCGGTGGCCCTACTTTCTTTCATATTGTCGGTTGATGAAGGTGTGGTCAGAACCGTAGGTACGTGGCACTCACTCTTACTGTAGTAGACTGGTATTTCATCCACTTCTCCAATCGCAGAGAGGCAGAGAAAGCTCAATACGACACGCATTTATTTACCTATATATTCAAAGCTCTTTCTCCCGACCAAGTAGCAGCATCATGTATCAGTACCATCAAGTCCTTCGGTGCAAGTGAAATGATTCTCAAATAATAGTCAATTAAAGTCAAACAATCCTGACAATTCTACCAGGAGACGTCTGTATTAATATACCGAGGTACCAAAAAAGATTGTTTACAATTTACACGGACCGGAAATAAAAATAAGCTAGTGTTCTTATTCCCAGTCGATGAATTTGCCAAAATATTTCCCAAAGTACGCTAAAAATATCACGGTGTCAAGTTGGGCAACTTGTCAGTCCGACGTGTTTTTTCAGATGTGCAACAAAACTGTTTTCGCACTGATATCACGTGGAATGACACCGCTTTGGGCAGAATAATTAATTGATGGTAGCTTATATAAGCATCGACTACTCCTCCTCCTCCTCCTCCTCCTCCTCTTTCGTTTACTTACCACACAAAGTCACAAAAGAGACATCAGATCACAATATTGAACCTCACTCAATGAATGATTTATCGGTTGATATTCAGACATTAACCTACTATAGAAAAAGGTTCCTCTTATGATTATCGCAAAGCTGCGAACAATGAGGAACCCAAAACCACCATTCCGCTTTCGGAACATTTGAGCCAGGAAGTCCTGCGATTGGATGCAGAAATTCACTTCTTTATCTGCAAACATGGCTATTGATCTGATTTTTGAGGTCATATATTATTGAGAAAAGAAGGGGACATTCGATTTTGAATCGGGCGTCTACTGTTGTACCTGTGTATCAACCTGATTAGCATCTCAAGCTTCTTGTCTTAGCGGACATTTTATCTGAACTGCTTTGTTTGTGTTTTACTGAGAAGCTTTCGAATCTTTCGGGACTTACCATCGTATTCCTTATTTTATTCCTGAGGTGCTACATGCTTCATATACTTTTGAAGAAACATATTTCTCTGCCAGTTTTATCCCATATCCCAACAATCCATGACATCCTACTCCCATCCCGAAACCATCTACGAAACTTCCTTCATCTCAACTCGCAACCCAATCCACATAAAAATCGATCTTCGTCATCGCCAACCCCCCAACACCACTGCCAACTTCATGCCCTCCACCACCATGCTTAGCAGCGTTCTCCGTTCTCCCTTCTCAGCCCTAATCCATGCCCTCATTCAACTCTCCGCCGTTTCCTTCTACCTAGCTCTCCTCATAACAACCTACTTCCTCTACAGCATCCGCTACCTCTCCTCCATCACCCATCTAACCCAACTCCTCTCCTACCTCTACAACCAATTTCCCTCCGTCATAAAACACAAAGCAGGCATAATCTACGAAGAACGCCGGCAGCTCCGCCGAAAATACGCCGAAGCACGAACCGAGCGACTCCGTGAACGCAACGAAGTAGGTGAGCGAGAGCGAGCCCAAATGCGTGAAGCAGTGCGACGAGTTGCCTGGAAGAGGGGAGTTGGAAAAATGGATTATGGAACTGATTTGAATGAAGATGAGAAGAAGAATCCATCATCATCCAAGTCTAAATCAGAAGACAGAGAATCAGGAGATGGAAATCAAGTAATTGAAGGATGGATAGAAGATGAGGTGATCATCCAATCACCAATTGAACTTCAAGAATCACTTGAGAAATTGGAAAGTAAAGCAGATTATGGGAAAAGGGCGGGATATCGGGACGAGGAACAACAAATGAAAGCGAAAGAGGCAGCAAAGATTTTATTGAGAAATGGAGAGGTAGAAGCATTTCCTAAATTTGAGGATATGGATACTAGGGGGTGAGGAGAGTCAAATGTAGGTAGTTTGGACCGGAGATCTCACCCAGATATCGTTTTTAAAATCAAAAGCGTGGATAGCAGCAAGGTGGAAGATTGAATTTCTGGGCATGGTCTTCCAAGGACAAAAATCAAAATCAAAATCGAAAATCATGAATTCCTTCATTACATGACCTAACCATCTTCGCATCATCCCAAACACACCCAATAATCCCTTCCATCTTTTCTCCTTCAACCCAACCCAAAACTCTTGTTGCACATCTACCCACCCCTTGGCATACCTAGTAGGTATCTAGAAGAATCTAGAACTTCATCCACACCATTCCCCCACGCCATTCTCCATCCTCTTTCACCTTTCGACTTTCACCTAACCCTACAAAACAGTATCTCACCACACCACACCACACCATACCATATCCACCTCAAAGAAATCCCAATAGAAATTCCTCCTTTTCATTTTTCCTTTGTTATTTCTTCTATTGGTGAGGGATCACCGCATTGGGATTAGTTGGTTGTTTTTGTGTTATTCTTCTTTGCTTTCCTCTTCTGTGGTATGTGTGGTATACGGTATGTAGTGTAATGTAGTGTATATGTTTCCTTTGACTTGTGTAGATATTGATTATTTCATTTTGCTTCGTTTCGTTTCAGTTTATGTGAGGTTGAATTTATTTGAATCAAGTTACTTATCTTGAAACATTACTTGGTGATTAAAGGAGGAGTCTTTATTTAAGAATACTCATTTCATCCCGATCCATTATTCCTTTCGACGAAATTTATTAAATATCAACCTTTTACTCAGTGATAATCGCCCGCACAAAAATCGCATCAAAGTTTGAAGATGTCTACCTCGAATACAACGTCTACTGTCTCCTCGGCGCCTATTGTCTCCTCCTCCGTCTCGGTTGTCTCTTCTTCTTTAACGACTCAATCTTCCGTCTCCTCGGTGCCAATAATCTCTTCTTCCTCTATCGCAGTTAGCTCTTCTCCACCCTCTTCAATCTCAACTATCTCCTCCTCTTCGATCTCAACCATCTCTTCCTCAACCTCTTCAATCTCAACTCCCTCACCATCATCCTCATTCTCATCCTCACAACCATCAATCTCCTCCTCCTCAAAAATCCCCACCCCTCCATCCCATCACACCGCCTCCCAAACCCTCTCCCCATCCCACATATCCGCCGAGCCATCATCTCTCCTCCAAATCGCGACTCCGATTGCTATTCCTCCACCTATCCGTCCATCTCTATCTCGTACGTCTTATCCCTTTTACCCCCTCCCTTCAAACCCCCTCAACTTCTCATCACAAATCTCACCCCCCCTCAAATACCACTTCCCCCACCATCAAGCTCCCCTCTCAAACCCCCACTAACACCCCCTCCCTCCCCAAGTCCTCACCCAACTCCAAGAAGCCCTCGACTTCACCTCCACCCTCCTAGGTCTCTTTTTCGTATCCCTCCTCACCCTCCTCCTCATCTACTGGAGCACCCTGTACATCCTACGCAAAACCGTCGATATCAACCCGCGCGATACATCACCCATCGCTCAATCAAAAGCCAAAAACCAAACCAAACTCCACCCCTCCAATAATCTACCCAGCTCCCCCCAAAAGAAAGAAGTAGGATTTGCCCCCCACCCCTCCGACCCCGAATTCGTTCTCTCCGGAAAAACCGCCCGAGAAACAAAACGTCGTCTCTCTTCCATCCCGCAATCACCCACTTCCCCAACCTCCACCTCCCCTCCATCCCGCACTCCCCCCCCCTCCTCCTCCTCCTCCTCTCCATACACGCTCTTCCCCACTCAGCCCTGGCCCACCGACGGCGTACAACTCGCCGGTCTCGGATCCGTCCCTGAATCCAAAAAAGATAAGATAGAGCAAATAGCGCAAGCTACAGAAGTTTCGGAACTAAGCGAGGCAGCGGGTCGAACAAAGGAAGATGTGGTGACGGAGGCGGATTTGGAGTTTCAGAGGGGGGTGCGGGATGTGAGCGGGGACACGAATGCGATTGAGAGGAGGGGAGGGCGGAGTTATGGGGCATTGTAGGGTGGGGAGGGGTGGGCGTGGGCGCTGGGGGAGAAGGAGTGATGACAACGCTGGCGATTGAGATGCATGGCTCACGTCGTGATAAGTACTGAATAAAAGATGGATTGTAAACACCGAGGGGTTTCGGGCTTTTTGGTTGAACGAAGAGGAAACCGTGAAAGTAAAAGGCGGGGAAAAAGCGAGATGTGTAAGGAAGCGAAACGAAAGGATGAGATTCTGAAAATGCAATACAAACGATGAGGGGTTTTCTCTCTTTTAAAAGCTATCAGAAAAGATATTGATGTGATAGAGAAGAGAGGAAAAATAATACTTAAAGCTTTTGATCGAGTGAAGAAGATGCAGTCACGGGGAAGGAAGTGGTTTAGAAAAAGGGTGCAGGGAAGATGATGAGCGGAAGGAAACTACAAAATGAGATGGCTGAGGATAGACATACATGTCTTAGTATCTTCAATGATGACAAAAATTAAGTGTAATACAGATACAAAGAACTCCCTACTTCTTGTCCCCTCTCTCCATCCGTCCTTCACTGTTTCGCAACGAACTCCCACTCGCTTTGCCAATGGAAACAGATGTCTCCATCCCATTCTGAAGTCATACCCCTCCCCTCAAAAAAGAAATCCCTTGCCTATAAGTACTGAAGTTTAATGCCATAAAATCACAACAATCTTTCTTACTTCGAAATCTATTTCATCGAGCGCAAAATTTCATTCCCTGTTTCAACCTATGTTCAAAATGCACATGACCATGTTACTCCCCTAAGAAGATGGTGAAAACATATGTTCGAACGTCTCAATAATCAGTTAAGCTTTTGTCGGAATGCGTGCCTGAATTTCCCCCATTCCTTCACACCCGCCCTTCTTTTTGCATGAAGACGTAAATTTTGTCCCAATAAGTATCCAGATTTTTTGTTTTAAAATATCTGTTTGCTAAACACCGTATGATTCAAAGATTATGATCCTTGAAGAACGATAGCATGGCCTTTATAACACAACTCTTACATCGTCATGCGATCCTTCTAGATCATCCAAAGCTTTCACTTTCCTTTCCGTTCTTCCCACAAAATCATCCCAATCATCGACACGAAACTTGCTTACTTTAAGCAAGTCCGTAGTAATACAATTTAGCCAATTGATAGTCTCCATAGGCAAACTACAATCGCGGAACACCATGTAAGGTAGGATATGTACGACTATGGCTGATACAGCAAAAAGTTTCTGTGGCGGATACTCTTCCATTCCTAAGCCTCGATCTGTACAGTGGTATGTAATGCTACAACACAGCATGTACTCAAAAGTGTCACCATCGCACACTCCGTAGAGGTATTCCCTTTCAGACCCGACACAGATGTGTAACAGCTCGAAAAGATACAATGCAAGTAAAAAAAGACTTCGTGGGATTTGATTGATACCTCCTAGGTGGAAATAGTCACACGAGTGATGAGAGTTGCAAGACGGGGCGAAATTGTGTATGCGGGGGTGGTCGAGAAGGGAAGATTTGCGGTGAACTCTACCATAGTATCGTTCTACTTTCTACGATGGCTGTTAGTTATCAGAAAGATGTACATCAAACGCCTTGGGTGAATCTTACCGAGATGATAAGCTGCCTAAACCTTTTGTCCGATAAATCATCTAGTTTAGGAGAATACTTGAAGACAGAGAGATCAAATATAGAATCAATGGGAACGGCAACACCACGTTCCCGAATGTACTGATTTCAGCACCATTTTTCTTTTATTGACTATCTGAGCCTCTCGGTCCTGGTCTGACTCGACCGCTGGTGGAGAAAGTATTGTCGAGTCTGGTATGTTGACTTCTACTACATGATGCCGTATGTCTTCATCCGAGATTGCCGGTGCCGGAGTATCGCAATCAATATAGCAAGGAGTTTCTAGATCAGTCAGTACCGAAGAGTAACAACAAAATCACCTCCAGAATTAGCATACCAACATTGAACTCAAGGATTGACTCCTCAGTCACTTTATATCTCTGCGCGAAGCGTTGAATCTTCTTTGGTTCAATTTCCCGGCCACTTATGCGGAACTCGCTGTTTTTTCCTTCGCGTTTCCTCTTCGAGTCTTTGCGTAAAATAACTCTCATATCATTTTCCTTGATGTTCTTGTCCAGCTTCCACTGTTCAATTCGTCGCTTGTATTGTCGTGACCTGGAGTTTTGAATGAGTTAGCTATTGTAGATAGCAGTCACCAAGCCTAGGAAACCTTACGTCGCACGGAATCCATATTCATTTTCCATGATTTTCATCACCTCCTTGAGAGGCTTGTCTTCAGTTGTGTAAAGTTGAGTAAAAGTTACTCTCTGGCGCTCCCACTTTTCTGCAGAGTGTTCCTCGGGAGCAGGTCTAGCAGTGACGTTAGATGGAGGTAACATAGGCTTAACCATAGATGGATTCGCATGAGCTGTGGTAGTTGAAGGCACAGTAGGTGTATCATTGTAAGGTAATAAATGCCGGATAGGCACATAAGGACTGGTAGGCGGTAAGGGCCATGAAGGTATATATGATGCTAATTGATCGAGAGCGCCATGTTCCAATTCCAACTGTCCAGTACCATAATTAACCGGATTCCTCGGGAAAAGTCCATGAGAAATCTTGCTGCAACGAACCATTGTTGAAACTCATATCGAGATTGGTGGCCATTTCAACAATCCCTCCAACTCGGCAGAATAAATAAATTCAAATACGTCAAGTCAAAGTATCAAGATAGATAATCGAATAGCACAATCGTAAACAAAAACGGTGAAATCCAAAGCTTTTTATATCTCAACCCACCCAAGCCCCCAGAAGGTTGTTCAGCCTTGCTGACACCTAATGCGTGGTCCTTTTGTTCTCAACCCCAGTAACTCGAACCTTAAAATGGTACTTTTGTTCACTCCCGAGGTCTGCATGGTACTTTTGCAATTGCGTCTGGGAATTGCGCCTGTGGCTTACAGGGTAGCAAACGCCTCATGAAATCTTCGAATCGAAAAGAAAAGAAATGGGTGAAGAAACAGTTTAATAGAGATGTAGAAGTGATATCATAGCGTAAATAGATAGATGGATAAATGAACGAAGAAATAAACACCCACCCAATGAAATCCTTCAACCCTTTTCATTTCATTTCATCCTCCCCTAATCCCAAACTCCATGCTATACAATTACCTATCTATCTACCTAAGTAGGGTACTTACACTCACACTTACTAATTACGATTCAAGAATCACCATTCATGAGGATTCAACACGCAAGAAAACGAAAGACGAATAAAAACCCAAACCAAAGCCTCCTTCAAAAACACACACACACACAAACAAGCACACACAAGGTACAAAAACAAGCTAAGCACAACCACGTGATATCCAATCTGTCCCGAGCGTCCTTCGATCCAAATACAGCAGTTACCTTCCTCCTCCCTCCTCCCTCCTCCCTCCTCCCTCCTCCCTCCTCCCTCCTCCCTCCTCCCTCCTCCCTCCTCCCTCCGCCCTTCTCCATATACCCATCTACTCATTTGTGCATCCACCTACCTATCTATTTACCCACTCATGTATCCCATCCCCCATCTATTCACACCACTCAATTAAGCAACCAAACCACCCAGCTACATGCACATCTACTCCTAGAATCCACATGATAGTATAGCGTTCTGTTTCTCTTTTCTCCTCCCCTCATTCTTCCTCCTCTTCCTCCTCTTCCTCCTCTTCCTCCTCTTCCTCCCCTTCACCCCTTCACCCCAATGATTTTCTCAAAAGCACGAGAACTTAGAAATAATGAACCATTGAACCAGCTAATAAATATCCATTTATCTATCTACCTTCTTCTCACCAGCTAAATATATAAACCGCCCCTTATTATATCTTTCTCATTCCCTCATTTCTTCCCCTGGCTACCCATCTTTCCATCCATCGAAAAAAAGCGATCTAAAGATGTAAAGATCTAAATTTACCCCCTTTCCCCGTCCCCCATCAACCTCTCAATCTCCCTACCACTCATCGATTCTATCCCCATCATATCTATTCATCAGTCTAAACCCACGCCCAGGTCCCAAATCAAATCAGACACCATCCAATTAATCCAAATACATGCTTTTAGGTCATGAATTTCTATCTTTCTTCCTGTCTTCCTCTCTCTATTCATTTTTCTCTCCCCTCCCTTTCATTCCCCCAACTCATATAATTTTAACTTCCCATCTATCCCTCTAAGCACTTCCAGTACCATTTCCACCAATCGCTCTAGGTAATCCCATCCACTTTTCCTTTCCGGGAATCTTCACTCTCCCAAACTCCTGGTCCAAATCCAAAATAATCTTCAAGGCATTTCTACTTCTCAAATAATGAAGTGGTCCCTCCTGACCTGGCAATGCGGCCGTACCCGCTACACCGACATGGGTTCTCTCATCCTTGGCATGACCTGGCATTGGAAGAAGATTTTGAAGGACTTCATATGCAGCCAATGTGAAACCAAATTGTGGGGAAGATCTAAGGATACGAGCTGGTCCACCCTTGAAGAATGCTTTAAAACCTTCTTCTTTCAAGATGGTTTTTGCGGCATGACGAAGAGATGTGTATTGAGATTCTCCTTTTCTGGCTTCAACTTGTAATCTAGTCTTGATGACATCACAAGGTGTAGTCAAATATGCAGCTGGCATACCAGCAATGGCACCTGCAGTCAATAAATGCACGACACCCAACTTTTTGGTCTGACTTTCACCAAAGAAGTCGCGCTTCAAATGGTTATATGTAGGGAAATAAATCATGGAGAAAGGAACATCACGGAGGAGACATGCTGATGCCCCTTTGTAGAGACCAACAAGACCAAGGTTACGAACGATCCACATAGCTGAGCGGCGAGGAGTGCCTTCAACACTCTTAGCGACTTCTCCTTGAACTTGTAGACGAATTTTGACGATCTCAAGGGGGTTAGTGAAGACCTGTGCGTGATTTTAGTATACTTCCAAAAGTGGGGTGGAGGGGTAAATATTAGCTTACCACTTGACAACCACCGGCCATACCACCAGCAAGAATTTCATGCTTAAGTTGGATCTTCCCATCCTTGGAGGAGAAATGACCACGAACAAGATCATTGACTGTCAATTTAATAGCTTTTTCTGGAGCAACACCAACAAGTTGTGGTAAAACACCAGAATATAAACCCTTGAACCCCTCATTTCGCACAACCTTCTTAGCACAATCCCAAGAATTCTTGTACAACATTTCTCCAACTCTTGAAGATCTTTGATTTTGCATACGTGTCTTGACGAGATCGATAGGGTATACCATAAATGCACCAAAAGCTCCTGCTAAACTTCCCAATGCGAAATGATGTACCGATTCGAGAACGCTATACAGAACACTTCCACCAGCTGCTTTTACACCATTGCCGTTGGCCCTCTTTTCGTAGGCATTGTACAAAGGATTGCGCCATGAGGCATCGAGGACCTTTGCGAAATCAGATAATCCGAGTCTGCCAGAAGGATTATCCAGACTGGCAAAGTGGAACAAAATATCGGCTTCCATAGGAGTGAAGAGAGAAAATCGAGTGATTCTTGCAGCTTCATTCAAGAAATCGGTTCTGGTAATCTTTCCATCGGTGCTTTCTGCAGTTGCCTGTCTAATGACCATCTCCACCAAATCCATCTCCCTAATCATATTTTGGAAAGCTCTAACATTTGCATATGAAATCTTGCTGCCAGCCGAGATGTTGCAGAGAGTATGCAAATTTTCGAGAAGATGATCCGAGAGTTTATGTTTTGCGGTTTCGAGAATAATTCTTTGGAACTCCTCTGGTTCAATGTATCCATCTCCATCTTTATCAAAATGGTGGAACGCTTGACGTATTCTCTCTCCTTGTAAACCTCGAAGCATCTGCGAGAATTGTGGATAAGTCAAATCGTGTCTTCTCTTCTTTCCTCCACTGTATAAAGTAGCCCATTCGCAACTCCAATCGAAAGGTATGGTATCTGGTCCCTTGTTCAATTCATATAACTTCTTCAAATCATCATATTTGACAGTGCCGGTTCGCTCGACATCGAAAAGACGGAATGCGATCTCGTATTCGGCATCGGGTTTGGCAAGGAGATTTTCGAACGTTCCCCAATCATGTAAACTAATTTTACCAGTATTTCTTTGATCAGCTACACGGAATAGAATTGCATATTGTTCTCGTTTGATTTTGTGCTAGAAGGAAACCAATTATATTAGTTATGACTCTTGAAAAGGAGGAATGGCATAAACGTAAAACATCGACTCACATAATCTTCTCCTTCCGGCGCAATGGCATTTACAAAGTCCTCCTCAGTCATATACCCCTCTGCTCCAGACTCATCCTTCCGCGAATTCTTCTCAAACGTAGCTTTCGATTGAGCAGAAAGTTGAATATCCTCTGCCACGGTCGAGCCTAACAATGACTCCTTCACCACCTCCTTCGCCGTTGTGAGATCTGTCCCTGTCATGATTTGACCCTTTGAATGTGCGACTCTCCAAATAGTGTATCAAATTCGTCCAATGGATACTGTGTGTGTACTTGGTATGAGTTTCTTTTGAATGAACGACCGAGATTCGGAGGAAGATCTGCGAGGAATTGTGGAGTTTCCTGGAGTTTCCGCACTCAAACAGGAATTGAATTGTCGAGTTGTCAGACTTGGGAGTAAAATTTTCTCTTTTTCTTTTTTCGAAGAGTATCGTGAGCGTGCTGACAATGGGTCAATTGGTACGACAATCAAATCTCAACGGTCAACGGTCAACGGTCACTGGTCACTGGTCACTTTCTTTCTTTTTTCTCTCACTTCAATTGAAGTTAAAAAAAGGACAAGACAATGGGACCAACCAAACTTTTATCTAGCTCCAAGCAATTCCACGATTTCTCCAATTGGAGAGGAAATTAAGACTGGGGAAGATGGGGGCGAATCTGGGCTGGTATGACTGTACAGAATAAGAAAACCAAAATTAATTTTTGTGTCGGGATTGATTCCGAAGAGTGCCGGGTTCATTCATTTATTATTATTCAAAATAAATTTGACCGAATTTCACCAGAAGAGTAGAGAGTGCGAAAGCTCTCACCCACTTTTAAATTATAGGAAATGAAGAGTACGAAGTAGGTATTAAGTTTTTAAGGAGATTATTCTGTTGTTTTTTTTAATATTTCTATAATTTGGTATATATATATATATATATATACATACATATATAAGTCTTACACACAGAAGATCTATATCTTTCTCTCCAAATTTCATAGATAGTCCGATATTGACCATTGATGAATTCTGTTACACTCACTGCCGGCAAGCCCGAGTAAAGACTAATCCTCTTTCAAATCCATCATCTGATGTATGAAGTATAATAAGCATCGAACAAGACGTCAAAGTATTGCCAAGTCGCATGTAGTATTGTCGATGTAACTCTACCCTCCCTGGCATTACTTCTTCAACCAAATCCTCTCATCAATCCTCTCCTCGCTCCTCGGCAACCCGTTCAACATATCTTCCTTTCCTCCATCTCCTTTACCGGACCAACAGCCACAGTTCTGCCAGGGCGTCGATACTACTCGATACGTGCGCATATTTTCTTCCCGTCCCCTCCTCCCCCCCCGCCCCAAGGATGGATATCCCAAGAAAGGTACCACAATTATTACACTACTCTGTAATTGATACAACGTTGTTATCGTTGCTAGGAGATTAGAAGACTACGGTAGATAGTTAATTCTCGGCTATCTT